ATTGCTAATCCATTAGCATTGAACTCCAGACCAGCAACTGTGACTGTCCTGAGCAGTGCTCATCTAACCATGTTCTCTGTAAGGCACACCTCAGCCTTGTACTTAGGATACTGGACGGCACTACAGCACCAGTCTGGGGGCAGTTTTAAACTGTGAAATCACCCACAAAACATCCAGATAGGCGCAAACGTGACACTGTTTGCAGTATGAGAGCTGGTGAGAGGCAGAGCGTTGCCTCGTTCAGCTGTGGCTGGGGACGTGGCGGAGGGGCCTTGCACTTGTCCCCGCTCCGTGACCAAAGGTGCTCCCAGCCACTGGTGCCCAGGTGAATTTGGGTACTAGATCTGAGTAGCGAGGACTGACTACGGCTTCGGGTTCTTTTCCTGTCCAGGCTCCATCTTAAAGCAGTCTCCCTGAAATTAAACGGACCCTTTCCTGCCCCCAGCCAGGGGTGGGGTGGAGTCGCACCCCAGTGTTCTGGACTCTCTCAGCCCTTCCTCACTTCTCTCTGCAGTTTGCACGAGCTGGTGAAACATGAGGAAAATGGTCTGGTCTTCGAGGACTCGGAGGAACTGGCAGCTCAGTTGAAGGTAGCTGTTGGCTGACCTGGACCCTGGTTCTGACAGCCCCAGAGGGTGGCCTGTGGGAATCCTGGCAGAGGAGCAGGTGCGGGGGCAGAGGACAAGCAGGCCAGCTGGGCCTGCTTTGCTGTTGACATTCTGTGGGCTCCTGGAATTGGGACACACGGAGTAGCGTTGAAAGGTGTCCCCATGGAGTCAGGCGGCTGAGGGACAGAGGGAACTTCCTGGCCTGGCTGGGAAAGGTGGGGAGGTCTCAGACTGGTGCTCATTTTTACCACTACTGAAATGGTTTTTATGTTGAAAGAAACATTCTGTGACAGTTAACCAGGGGTGGGAGGGGACGGAGAATTAGTCACTAGTTTGAGGGTGGTGGTTAAGTGCCGTTGAGTGGCGACCGTTATAAACGTTGTAGAGCGTTTCCAAGAAACCACTGGGGGGGTTTGAACTGCTGACCTTGTGGTTAGCAGTCCAGTGCTTATCCAACCTCACCATACCCAAGATGTGCTAACACGAGTGACGGGGAACCTGCCCAAATCCAAACCCACGTCCATCAACTCGGATGCAACTCAGAGTGACCCTGTGTAGGGTTTCTGAGTGACTGGTGGGCTTGAACTGCCAACCTCACAGTCCAGTGCTTGTCCCATAGTGCCACACCAGGACTCCATTCCAACTCATGGCTATGGTGATATGCTGTGGGGTCAGTACTGACCCACAGAGACCTGTTTAGGGTTCCCGAGATGCATTGTGGAAGCAGCCACCCTTACCTTTGTCTGGTGGAGCAACTGGTGGGCTTGAATCACAGATGTTGTGGTTGGTAGTTCAGTGCTTAACCCACACTACCACAAGGGATCCTTCCCAACCCGTGTAACCGGTGTTGGTTCTCTTTGTTATTTTATGTAAGTAAGATCATATATCACTCATCCCTGTCTGACTGACTTGTTTCACTCAGTATGTAACGTGTCCAAGGTTCTTCTATGGAGTGGATACTTCTTAATATAAAAAACAACACATCATCATTCTTGATGGTTTACACTGGGTTTGGCAAATTGTTCCTATAAACGGCTAGGGAGAAAATGTTTTTGGCTTTGCCAGTCCAGCATACCTCGTTTGGTGCCATTTTTCCAATAGGATGTGCTCACTTCCTGTCTCTGTGTTAATGTTTGTTTATATTCACCGTATTTCAACCTTAACATGCCGTCACAGTACATTTTAGTTCCAACATCACCTTTATAAGCACTGGAAACCAAGAAATATGTGTGACTAGCTTTATTGTGGGCTCTGGAGCAGCCCTAGCCGTGTTTCTGGGGTTTGCTCATCAGTCTCTGCAGCAGTGGATTGCATTTCCCTTGATGTAGGCAGCACCCACAGGGACACAGTAGAATGTGGAGACCATCCTACTCCCTGCAGACAACCAGGGGAAAGGAGAGCTGAGCAGAAACCTCGGTGGGAGCATTGTGTGTGGTGGGGTCGGGGATGCGGGGAGGCTCTGGGAGCAGCCTGATCCAACAGGAGCTTTGGGTGTGAAGGTTTGCACTGTCAGGTGGAGCGGTCCCAAGTCAGGGTGGGAGACTCCAGGGAAGGGCAAGCAGCCGGGAGGGGGCGGGGAAGGAAGCAGGTCTGCTTGGGGTCGGATGGAGGTGGGGTGCTGAGGAATTAAGTCCTTCCTGGTCGCTGCTTTCCTTCCAGATGCTTTTCTCCACATTCCCTGATCCTGCTGGCAAACTGAACCAGTTCCGGAACACCCTCCGAGGGTCCAGGCAGCTTCGCTGGCACGAGAGCTGGAGGCAGACTGTGCTCCCTTTGATTGTGGACACATGACCACACTGGCCAGAGAGGGACCCCTCAACGTGGCTCCATCCCCCCTGGAGACCCCCAGGCTGACGCCTTGGCAGCTGTATAAACAGCACCACCTAGTGGCAGGAAGCGGAGACTACAGAACACAACCGAGGCCTCCTTCCTTCCTTCCCTTGTTCTGTAGTTCTTGAGCTCTGCCTGCTGCTCTCCCCCTTCCTCCTCTAGCCGTCTCCTGACATCTGGCTCCTGCTCGGCTGCCTTGCTGTTGTACAGGTGTGCTGGTGTGAGCAGGTACTCGGGCTGGGGACAGGCATACTTGGTATTTGTACTGCTATAAATGAGGTGCGCATCTTGGAGTCAAAGTTCTCAATTCTGGTTTATGGAGAGGTGTGTGAGGGGTCAGAGCCGCGCACCCTTCAGTTCTCCCAGTAATGGTGACGTCTACAGCCTTAGCTTCAGGATGGCCATCTCTGAGGGCTCGTCATAAGGAAACAACTTCTGGTTGTGGCGAGGCACCGTTTCCCATGGGACCCCTGCCCGGCCTGGGGACAGAGCACACATCTCAGCACAGAGGTGTGAGAGTATGTGTGCGTGTGTGTAGAGGTTTGTTTATTTTAGGGGCATGCATGCAAATTGTGTGTTTAGGGTACATGTATTGTTAAGTACAGTTGTTGGTCCTAACTCATATCTACCCTGTGTAGGGTTTCTGAGAGCTGCTGCTGGGTTTGAACTGCTGACCTTGTGGTTAGTAGTAGTCCAGTATATGTGTGGAGGTATGTTTGTGTGTGCACCTGTGTGTAGGTGTGTGTGTGTGAGGCCATGTGCAGGGCTGTCACCCATCCCCACGGCCACCCTGGCTCTCACGGGTCTGCTCTAGATGCGGCGTGAGCTGAGTGTGCCCAGTTTATAAACGGCACACTGAGGTGGACACCAGGCTGGCCACTACCTGCGTCCTACACACGGGAACAGAAGCTGGAGGCTCATGGGTCATGTTCCTGCAAACAGCGGGGCTGCTGGCCGACCACCTTCCACCGCTGCCATGAGCCCACTGGCTCTCCAGCCCTTCCTCCACTGCTGAGGATGAGGCGGGGGCTGGTGGTGGTGTGAACCGCGGTGGGTGGGCCAGCAGGAGGACTGGGGGGCCTGGGTCTTACCTAGCCCGGCTGTGAACAGTTGGCAAGTGTCCGGGTTCCGCATGGTGAAGGCCACGTAGGCGTCTAGAACCTCAGAGTCCTTGTGGCACCCTGAGAGCATCTGCAGCACCCCGATCAGGGAGAGGACAGTCTCTGGGCAGTATAGCACATCTACGAGGCAAAGTCGGGGTTAGCACAGGGTCTTGAGAGGGAGGGTCAGGCTTTGTTGTCCATGTGGCTGGATACGGGCACTGAGTTAACCTGTTACTAACCTGAACACAGATCGCTTAGGCAAGAAAGGAAAAGTAGGTGAGAAAGGAGGTGCTGCTGTGGACCAAACCCCAGGCCTGGTTAATCCTCCCTTTAAAGAAAGCTGTTCTTTGCCAACCAGCCTGTTCAGAAGCCTGTCTCCGGGGCTCAGTCCGTCAGCTGCAAGGACGCTGTGCCCCATTCCATGGGAGCTGAGTGAGGTTGGCCTGGGGGCGGGCGGAGGGGGACACACGAAATACCACTCACTGCAGATGGGCAGCGGGTGGAGGTGAGGCCACGCAGCAGTCCCTTTGCTGAGCAGCTGCTGGAGGAATCAGACAGGCTGGGGAGCAGTGTGCTAGTCCTATATCCTGGGAAACTCAGGCAATGGGCTGCCCGGACATTCCCACCCCACAACAGAGACACTTGAGATGACAGCATCACTGAAGAGGAGGTGGCTAGAGGTGCAAGGCTCTCCCTGAGACGCAGCTGCTCTGACCAGCCCCACTGGAGCGGGAAATCAAGTCTGCCCCCAGAGCTGGGTGCCATCCCTTCATCTCCAGCCCTGGTGGGGAGAGCAGAGACACATCTGCCAGAGCCGCTGGAGCTGATTTCACCTGCAGACAGACCTCCCTCCCCAGCTGTGGGCTGAGCTGTCAATACCTGCTGCAATGATGACATCTGGCTGGAAGGCTGAGAGCTGTGAGGCTGAGGCCAGGTCCCAGTCCAGCTGGGCCACAGCCACAGTGGGCTTCTCCAAGTCCAGTGTGGTGTTCTCTGGGTGCTGGTGAAGGGTCGTGGCATCGGGCTCTATAGACAGGCCGTTCAGAAGGATGTTCCCGCGGAGCTGCTCCAGGACCCGGCTGTGACAATCGCTGAAGATGTACGCCCTGGGGCGGCATGCCTTGCAGATGGCCAAGCCTGTGAGGCCGGCTCCACTGCCGAGCTCCAGGACGGTCCTGGGTGGACAGGGGAAGCTCAGCATTGGCTTGGGGCCAGCCTGCCTGCCCACCCTGCCCGGGGCCCCTGGCTGTCACCTGTCAGTGAAAACTGCCGGGTTTTCCACGGCCCACTCAGCGAGGTAGAGGGCAGCATTCCAGGTGACCAGGCCTGTAGTGCCGTGGGACACAATGGCTGTGCTCTCGGAGAGGGTGACCGGCTCTCCAGAGGGCTGGACAGAGAGACGGAGTGTGGGCTTACCCAGCAGCCAGCAGAAAAGCAGCTGCTCCCCACAAGGTTAAAAGACCTCCAACAGCTGTGGTTCACCTGTCCCGGAGACCACTCAGCATCTGCTCCCTGTGGGGTTAAGGACCTCCGGTGGTTGTGGTCCACCTTTCCTGGGGAAAGTGCTGTTAGTTACTGTGGCTGGGGTGAGTGAACAGTGCTGAGGTAGCTGCGTGTGTAGTACAAGGTAAAGCGAACAGGCAG